ATTGCACTGCTGTGATTGGCACCCTTGAGTCTGTAGGTGCCAAGGTCAAATTTTGGGAAGATCCCAGGGCCTAGCTAAGGCTTTGATTCTGTGCTTCTTGCTTTGACTTGACCTTCTAACAAGGCTATGTGTTGGGGCCTCAATACTGATGTAGTCATTTTGATTTCTATTTTGCTGTTTCCCCAGCTCTCTTGGGAACATGGTGTGGTGGTGGGGAACAGAAGAGAGCTTTGAGAAAGATGGAGAAAGCTGATTGATCAGACAGGTTTCTCTTGGTCTTGGCCACAACTCTGTTAGAGAACTTCTCAACCTCACTCTTAATTGTTAAGAACTGATTAAAAATATGATGTGTGTCTTAGTCTGTTCAGGCTTCTATAACAAAATATCATAAATAGAGTAGTTTACAAACAGCAGAAATTTAGTTCTCACAGTACTGGGGGCTGGGAAGTCCAGGATTATGGCAGATTTGGTGTTTTGGCAGGAACTGCTTTTTAGTACCTTTTCCGTGTGTCCTCACATGGTAGAAGGGGCCAGAGAGCTCTCTGGGACCTCTTAGGGCACTAATTCTGTTTATGAGGGCTCCACCCTCACAGCCTAATCACCTCCCAACACCATCACCTTGGAGGTTGGCATGTCAATATATGAAGTTCAGAAGAACACAAACATTCAGACTATAGCAATGTGTGAAATTAATTTCTATCTAGAAAATGTTATTGAATTAAGCACAAAAGGTGGTTGCATAAATCTTCTTTTAGAATTAGGATGATGCAAGAATGGCAGCTATGATACCTGGGAAAGGCTCATGTGTGACTCGCCACTCTTCCTGCTGGGTGGAAATAATTAGAAAATGTGTGTTGGGAAAGACGGGATAAACATGAAGTGCAGAGACACCAAGAGGGAAAGCCATTGATCATGTTTGCCTGTGATCACCCTGGAAGGAATGATCTGTTCTTTGTGGCGGTCGATAATTAAATATGGAAGAGACTGTGCTGTGATTTCATGTTTGAGATTGGAAGAGGAAAAGGGACAGATAGCAAATGATGCCACAGGAAGGGCACAATGTGTGGGCTGAATCATCAAAGTGACAGGTGTTTGCTAAAAGTGGCTCAAGTTCAGGGCTGGGGTGGGCATGTCTGTACAACTTCTATGTCCGCTGAAGACCTGCCTCGAGGCAGCTCTGTGCTGGGAGCCACCTGTGCACAGCCCACCCTATGGAGCCCACAGCCTGCATGAGGGAGAAGTGGGGCACAAAACCATCAACTGGGCAGTGTGACAAGTGCTGTGGAAACCAAACTGCATGAAACAGAGATTGTGCCAAGGACTTCTGGGAGGGGCTGGTTACATGGGAGAAGGACAGCAAGAAAAAGGTGACTGACACACTTTGGATTTATGTCCCAGCCGAATCTCATTTTATTTACTTATTTATTTTTGAGATGGAATCTCACTCTGTCACCCAGGCTGCAGTGCAGTGGCATGATCTCAGCTCACTGCCAAGTCAGTCTCCTGAGTTCAAGCAATTCTCCTGCCTCAGCCCCCTGTGTAGCTGGGATTACAGGCATGCAACACCATTCTCGGCTAATTTTTTTTTTTTTTTTTTTTTTTTTTTTTTTTTTTTTTTTTTTAGTACAGAAAAGGTTTCACCATGTTGGTTAGGCTGGTGTCGAACTCCTGACCTCAGGTGACCCACCCACCTTGGCCTTTCAAATTGCTGGGATTATAGGTGTGAGCCACCACACCCGGCCCCAAATCTTATTTTAAATAGTAATTCCCAGTGTTGGAGGAGGGGTCTGGCAGGCGGTGATTGGATCCTAGGGGTGGATTTCCATCTTGCTGTTCTCCTGATAGTGAGTTCTCTCACAAGATCTGGTGTTCAAAAGTGTGCAGCATCTTCCCCTTTACTCTTTCTTCCTTTTTCTCCAGCCAGGTAAGACATGCCTACTTCCCCTTTGCCTTCTGCCATGATTGTAGTTTTCTGAAGCCTCCCCAGCCAGGCTTCCTGTACAGCCAATGGAACTGCGAGTCAATGAAATCTTTTTTCTTTATAAATTACCCAGTCTTAGATAGTTCCTCATAGCAATGCGGGAACAGACGAATACAGAGACTTTCAATAATACTGTCCTCGAAGTGTTATTGGTTAAGGCTCCAGTTTGGAAAAAGCTCGAGAGTGAATGGGTGAGGGAAAATGGTCCATACATTCCACTGCAAATTTTTCCCCCTGGGAACTTACAGGGCTGGAATGCCAAGCTCTGAGACCTGCTGGCTTTTGCAAGTGAGGGAAGCAAATGTGCATTTGCCGTCTGCCCACTTAGTGTCCCGGATGTGTCTTCTAGATCAGGGCTCTGCAACTGTTTCTCTAAGGGGTCAGGTGGCAAATCTTTTCAGCATTGTGGGTGACAGGGTCTCTGCTGCAGCTGCTCAGCACTGCAGTTGCAGCAAGAGAACAACCATAGACTATACAGAAACCAACAGGCATGGCTGATCTGCCCACGAGCAGAAGTTCTAGATCCTTGCTACTCACAGCGTGGAACCCGGCTCGGTATTGTTGGCATGTCCCAGTGCACCACTGGTCTAGAGCTGGTGCTGGTGCACATGCATTTCCGATCATAGGGTAAATCCTAACACAAATTCTTGCATGAGAATGGATTCCTTTAGTCAGATTGCTTTCTAGCCAGTGCTTTATGGGGAGTGGAGGTTCAGATGAAGGAAGGACAAAACTCATTTGGGACTTGGATATCATGAGCAAATGGCTCTGAAGGGGGTGAATGGGGACTGGGCATGCCACTAGAGGGTAGCCCCTGAAAAAACACGGGGACCTGGAGAGGAAAAGGCTCTGGGAAGTGACAGTGGAGCCAGGTGGAAGACAGGAGGGTGCCAAAAGCAAGCCATACCTAAGCAGAGAGTTTGTTGATTGCTCCTTATGAGCCAGGCACTGTCAGGACAGGAGGGTGGGATGAAGAAGTGGAATTGAATCTGACCTGGCCTCTTTTGAGAGGCCTGAAGGCAAGGAAGGTGAAGCATGGGGGACAGTAAGGCGAAGGTGCAGTTAGCAGTAAGCAGAGCTGTGAGTCACAGCAAGTGTGTGTGAGAGTTCATGGAGGGGGTGGCGTCTGGCTTGGATTGGTGGTGCCATGAGCCCCAGAAGACATCATGGGAGAAGTGGAATTGGCCTTTGAGAAATGGGAATCTTAACACATGCAGATTAGAGCTGAGAGGCATCCCCGACAGAGAGGACAGGAAGAATGAAGGCAGGGAATTCTGTATGAAAAGGAAAATGCTGGTTCATTTGCACCTGTGTGTGTGTGTATAAAGGTTTGAGAGGAAATTTTAGAGTGTTGTTTTTCTCTCGGTGAAGAATTTTCTATACTTTTTCCTTAGTGAATAGACGGTACCTTAGTAAATACAAAATAATAACAATAATCATGTAGATTGTGATGAAGTTAAGTAGAGCCTTGAATTGTCAAGCTAAGTTTGATTTCATGTGTGGGCAAGGTGATTTCATCATTGGCTTGGTGTCCACACCACCACCAATGCCTGTGTCTGTGTTTCTAATTAAACTTGAGTCTCTTCACTCTAAGAGGAACATAGCCCATCCCACCCAACCCTGAATTAAGAACAAAGTTGTGAGAAAGAATGTCCAAGAAATAGTTTATTCCAAACAAGAAACGCCAACTTGAACAGAACCAGGAAATCCAATGTTCCTAGGGCTATTTACAGCTCCTGTCCCTAATTCATGAACTCAGCCCAGTTTTAAAGAAAAATTCTTAGGAGCCTCCAGCATCACAGTGAGGAGAGGAGCAGGCCCGCTATTTCCTGGGGGAGGTGGGAAGGAGGATGGCGGTGATGAGAAAATGAAGTAAAAAAGGTGTGGAAAAGAAGCCGACTTGCGCAGACCACACAATCCGGAAATAGCCTAAGTTCCAAGGAAGAAAAGAATGACCATTTCTTTTTTTAAAAAAATAAAAATATAAAACCTCACCATACATTAAAATGTCTTTTAAGAAATCTAAGAGATGACATGGACAGCCCCAAGGATTGAGTAATCAAGTAAAAAGTGAAGACATGGAAGCTGGGTGACAAAATAAAAACACAGTAGAATGTTAGCAGGATATAGCAAACATCAGAGGAAGAACATTTGGAAGAATCCTAAACAGGGGGCTTGTTTGCACAGAAAACTGACCTGCCCAGTGAGTGAAGGAAGAAAGTATCTAAATAATGATGAAGATGATGCCTACACAAAAGGCCATCCAATGAGTCATCCAATGCTTGGGGTTGCACACAGGAACTGATTTAGCCCTCCCTGCTTAAAAATGAGGAAACTGCCATTCAGAGCGACCGCACGCTTTGCCGGAAGTCTCCTAGTTAGCAGCCAGCAGGGCTAAATTCTGAACACAAACCTGACTCCAAAGTCTAAGCTTTCCCTGCTCACCCCCGACTTCTTCCAATTCAAATGCAAGCTTCTCCCTGTCCAGATCAGAGAGTAGTTTGCTCTTTGTGTGAACCTACTTTCCTCCTGAAATAAGCTTTCTAAGCACCCATGCTTCCTAATGTATAAACAGGGAGCCACCCCACCAGTATCGGTTGGGTACTCTCTGCACGAAGATGCTGACAAGCTGATTTTACACCCTTCTCAGGAGAGAAAACCCCACAGGCTGATAGAGCTGGGAGTTCTGCTGCAGGTCTGGGCTTTCGGGAAGGTTGGACGGGGGCTGATTACACTCTGTAGGAGAAACCAGTGCTCTGCCACCTGACTCTCATCTGAATGGAATGAGTGACCCGACTCTTATTTAAATGGACACCTGTGTGTCTTCCCAGCACTGGGGATATGGTGGTGGTGAGGACTGCTGAGACTAAAAGGTAGGTAGGGACAGTCTTCTGTGAACGAGGGGCAGAGTGCGGCTGCAGCGCTGAGACCTTAGGGACAAGGCTGGTCTGCATGCTGCACCGTCTTACAAGGTCAGAAAGACTGTGGCCTGCCAGAGAACACACACGAAGACACTTTGGGTTTTGCTCCAGGGCTTCGGAGCATTGTTTCCTTAGAAGGGGCAAACATATCAGACATGTATTTTGCTGTCAGAGCTGTGGTTTTCAAAAGTGCCCTCTAACAAGCTAGGATGTGCCAAATTGCAAAGTCATGACTGTTTAATTGCTTTGGGGAAGGAGGGTTCACTTCAAATATTAAGGTTATATTTATACGTAAAAATGATTTTATAAATATCAAAGATTTTTCATGTCTCCTACCTAATCGGGCTCTCCCCATACTCCTATAATTTGAAGCGGGGCAGAAGTGTGTAACCCCTTTGGCAGATGCAGAGAACTGAGGCACAGAGAGGGCGTGACGTGTCTGAGGTCACACAGTGAATCAGTCCAGGAGATGAGACCAGAACCCAGGCTTCCCAGCTCCAAGTCCAGGGCTCTTTCTGCATCTGATGTTTTCAGGGTTGAGACAGGGACCATCAGGGCACAAGAGGGGTTCTGGGTGGGCAGGGCAGAGACGCGTGCAGTCCCGTTGGGCAGCAACAGGTGTGGGCTTAGCTGCTGCAACCGCGGGTGCAGGTGTGGGTGAGGAGGTTGTTGTTGCATCCGTCCTGCAGCTTGCTTTGGGCCTGGCCTCCAGCTTGGTCGTCGGTGTCCAAGAGCTGGCTGTCCTGTCCCTGCTGCCTCCTGAGCCTGCAAACAAGCACAGATCTGAGTTAGTGATGTTGCATGGGGTTGTGGAGGCACATCCAGGGAGACACACTGAGCAGGCGAGGCAACTGTGGAGGCTTCAGCTCAGACCTCCCTCTGCCTGGGAAGATTGACCATTAAGGCATCGAGGGTGCTGTGCACTGGAGCCAGATGGGGCTGGGATCAAAGCACAGCTCACGCACACTTGGGTGAGTTACTTAATGCATAGAGCCTCAGTTTCTCTGTCTATAGAATGGAGATACTAATTCCTATCTCGTGGCTGCTTTTGATGTTGACTTGAGATCACATATTTATATTTTTGTATATACCCTGTATTTATATTGCCCAAGCTCACAGTCAGTAAAGGTGGTGAGTCCCAGCTGTCATTTATTCAGTATACATGTATTAAATGCCCACTAATGTACCAGCCACCATGCCTAGGAGGAGGAGATGCTCTGGAAGCCAAACAATCATATTATTTGTCCTCAAGGAGCTCACTGTCGAAAGAGAGACAGGCACGAATCAAATAATCCCACAAATAAATATCCGAACACTTACACACAGACTTACAAAATATCCTATTACAAACTATGTTGAGGGAGTATGATTCTGAACATCACGTTTCCTAGCATTTGGCCACTTTCACATGTTGGAAGATGTCAATATCCCTCTGTTTCTGATCTTCAAGTTCAAGTCCATTCACTATGTCACAGCTGTCACTGTACGTGGATGGTGGCAGCCAGAATGGAATGGAGACATTTAAGGAGGCAGTGAGAAGTTTTAGAGCAGTGAAGAACTCAACTCATATCCTGGCTCTCAACACCTATGTGGGTTATGTTAGTCAAGTTGCTTTATCTTCTTCTTAGCCTCAGCTTCCTTATGGAAAACTAGGGATTATACCATTAGCTTTGCAGAAGGCTAAGGGGATCATAGAGAAGAAACGTTAAAATATCTAGTATAGGGCTGGGAATAATAATTGCTATTAGTTCTACCTTTTTCTGAAAGAGGTTTTAGCCTGGATTTTTTTTTATTGCATTTTAGGTTTTGGGGTACATGTGAAGAACACGCAAGATTGTTGCATAGGTACACACATGGCAGTGTGGTTTGCTGCCTTCCTTCCCCTCACCTGTATCTGTCATTTCTCCCCATGCTATCTCTCCCCACCTCCCCACCCCCCCGTCCCTCCCCCATTTCCCCCAAAAACGATGAGTTCGTGCCCTTTGTAGGGACATGGATGAACCTGGAAACCATCATTCTCAGCAAACTGACACAAGAGCAGAAAATCAAACACTGCATATTCTCACTCATAGGCGGGTGTTGAACAATAACACATGAACACGGGGAGGGGAGCACTAGCCTGGATTTTAAAAGGAGTGTTTCTTTCCAACAGAGTGCAGAGCAGGTTGTCGCCACCTACTGTCCTGATTTAAATGAAGGAGCTGTTTCACCCACCAAGCCTCTGTGTATGTTTGTTATATGCAGGGTCCCGAGGGTCATCCCAAGGTGCCTACAACTTAGGGCGTAGATAGGTCACAGTTGTGTGTGTGAGTGTGAGTGCGCACAGGGGGAATGCCTGGTGTTTGCAACAATGCTGGTATTTGAGTAAGTTCTTCAGATAACACCAAAATCCCAGCAGCAACACTGTTTCATAAGACAGTGAATTGCGGTTCCTCCCCCGCTGCCCTTCATGCAAAGGCCCAGGACTAAGGTGGGCGAGTCCTCTGTCCCCATAGCTTGCAGCTCTCCGGGTAGGGCAGCTGGGCAAGGTGGTTACGGTTAAAATACGACATCCCAGTGGAGAGGGCAGGAACCAGAGCACAGAGCTGGGATCTAGAGAACCAAGGGGGAGTGCTCCTTTTATCATGAGGAAAGGATGTGGTTAGGCTTCTTCGGAATGGCTGGAAATTGCCTGGGAATCTTCCTCCCCTCCTCCCTTCTCTTTCCATTCCAAGTGACTTTCTCAAGCGCCCCTGGAAAGGAAATCACATCAAAATTAGGGAACACTCAAATGACGCAGAAAACTATGGGAGTAAAAGGGAAATAAATATACTTTTAAAGTAAGGCATCATGGTTAGCTGCACAATTGTACCGCCGCAAACTTCTCTGAGTATAATGCAACACAAAACGAATCCATTAAGATTTTCTGTTAAATGCCAAAAATACTGGTGTTTTGAATTTAAAATAGCACAGTGTACTCAAATATGGCTATGTTGAGAACCAGAATGGCTACCTCTAGACTGCTGTACCCCTCTAATTATAACATAAAATAAAGGTTCAAAAGCTTCAAAATGGTTGAACGTAGTGAAGAGGGAGCCCCAAGGAGGGAGAGATGGAGTCTGAGATCCTGGGTTGATCAAGAGAGGCTTCCTGCAAGAGGTGGCACTGAGCTTGGCTTTCAGTGTTGGATGAACTCCCACAATTGGATGTTGAATGTGTGTAGCTGGCAGCGGAAGGTCTTAAATGAAAGGACATCAGTGAGGTAAGGCACAGAAAATAGAAAAAGAAATGCTGCAGTAATGGCTAGAGTCCTCTGGAGTGACGGTCTCACCACCGTGGCTTATCCTTTTGGCCAGAGCTAGTTTAAGGAGGAGAATTATCTGCTTTCATTCCCCCACCCTCTAGCGGAGACCCATAGGTGTGTGAAAGTTGATCATACGAATGTGTCGTTCTTGTCAAAGCCAACTAAAGCAGAGTAGAAAGGCAGTGGGGAAAAGCACTCAGGGCACAAAACATTGCTCCAAAACATGCAATTCTCTGCAAGCCTGGCAGCTGAAACTCTTGGTGTAATCTGAAACAAGTTTCATCTCATGGCTACTGAAATGATCTGCTGAAGCTCTAAGATTAGTTTTGCTCACTGCTGCTGCTTCCAGTCAGAATCCGCCAGCTCCTCAGAACCAGACTAGTGCTTTCTATTTTTGTGAGAGAGTTTTGCTCTTGTTGCCCAGGCTGGAGTGGAATGGCATGACCTCGGCTCACTGCAACCTCTGCCTCCTGGGTTCAAGCAATTCTCCTGCCTCAGCCTCCTGAGTGGCTGGGATTGCAGGTGCCTGCCATCATGCCCAGCTAATTTTTTTGGATTTTTAGTAGAGATGGGGTTTCACTATGTTGGCCAGGCTGGTCTCGAACTCCTGACCTCAGGTGATCCACCTGCCTTTGCCTCCTGAAATGCTGGGATTACAGGCGTGAGCCACCACGCCTAGCCAACATTTCTCCTTTATATAATACCTCTGGCTTTCTCTTTGTTCTTCACATATACTGAAGACCACTTGGTTTCACCATATGCCCCAAATTGCAATTCTTTTCTCTCGAATAAAACATTTTAATTGTAGACAGTCATCTCTGTATTTTGTTTGACTCTGACATACTTGGCATCAGAAGTGAGACCCAAAGCTGACTCACCTGGAGGACAGTCACCAGCTCTGGAAACTATGGAGTGAGGTATCCACACTGGGGCCTGCTGAGTCCCTATCTGGCTCCCTTGGCTCCCCTCTGTTCTTCTTGGTGAGACTCTTGGACTGAACTCATTCTTTTAGTTGACTTCTGTTTTACTGGGGATTTCGTTAGAGAGGGATTGTTCCCCTTCCTGACTGCTCTTGTTGGGAGAGCTCCTATTTAGGAAGACTATTCTTCTGGAAGGCCTTGGCTGTGTGGTCTGTGAGGTGAAGGAGGGCTCTTCTCCTCCTTGTAGACCCTCCTGTCGGGTATGTGGGTGAAGGAATTTTGTTTTCCTTTGGGTTGAGGCCTTGGTGATGGAATATCTCCTCTTCCCCTATGTTGAAGAAGGTGGCTTATCATCCTTTTTAGTAAACTTTATTTTCTGTCTGTGCTTGCATTTATTTAGATTTTTGGCATTCAGCACTTGTGTTTACTTGGCTTTTGTATATCTGACATTAGACTAGAACACTCACAAAAATGGACTCTCAAAGTTCAAAGGCATGCCAACATATTTTCTGGGACTCCAGCTGGCAACAGGTTCAAACATTGTAGGGATTATTTAAAGAGTCTGTGTTCTTAAAATTGAATTAAAATATCATGGCTATAAAGTCATGCATTTCAAAAAAGATACAATATCTCATCGATATCTTGAGGCTAAAAAAAAGAAAACTGTTCCGAACTCAAAGATTGCCTCACTACAAAATACTGTTTTTTTTTTTTTTTTTTGAGACTGAGTTTCGCTCTTGTTACCCAGGCTGGAGTGCAATGGCGCGATCTCGGCTCACCACAACCTCCACCTCCTGTGTTTAGGCAATTCTCCTGCCTCAGCCTCCTGAGTAGCTGGGACTACAGGCACGCGCCACCATGCCCAGCTAATTTTTTGTATTTTCAGTAGAGACGGGGTTTCACCATGTTGACCAGAATAGTCTTGATCTCTTGACCTTGTGATCCACCCACCTCGGCCTCCCAAAGTGCTGGGATTACAGGTGTGAGCCACAGCACCCAGCAAAATACTGTCTTAAAACTAGTTGAAACTCTTTACTCTCCAGCGTTCTTCCGATCCTTCTCACAATTTTTCTTTATCATTCTCTAAGTCTAACTCTCTTTGGCCAAAACTTCTCCAAAACTCCTTAGCTAGTCTGACATACTATCCATGAAGAGCACTTGCAAACCAGCAGAAATGAAAGAAAATCATTTTAATTTTCATGCTGCTTTCTTTTAAAGCAAAGAAAAAATTTCCATGTAAAAGACATTCTCTTCATACTAAAAAGGAATGGCAACATTTTGATCTTCAAGGACAAAGACTTGAGACCAGAAAAATATGGAACAGGCTCTGCTATAATAAAACAACATATCTTTTGGGCCTCCTGACATAATTTAGTCACATTATTCTTCATTGAATTCAGTATATTGGCAACTTACTCAACCTGCCTTATCCCAAATTTGGTTCACAGCCTTCACAAGACTGCCTGATAGGCCAGGCGTGGTGGCTCACACCTGTAATCCCAGCACTTTGAGAGGCTGAGGTAGGCAAATCATCCGAAGTCAGGAGTTCAAGACCAGCCTGG